ACACACACACACACACACACACACACACACACACACACACCCCTCCCATTTAGTAGTCTATCATGCCATCTGGACTTTGCTATTCTTAAAACATTCACCAGGGTGCTTTGCTAGTCTCCTTCAGTTTAAATCACTCAGATGACAAGAGTAATACTGAACAAAATGAAAGCGGACAGTAAGAGTATACCTCCAGGTCTAATGCAGATGGAGTTTTTTCTTTACTTTCTATTTCCATCTCCTGCTGTAACATCACATTAATCTGCTGTTCTGGACTCATTGGTCTGCTTCCTGGGAGGGTCAAAGATGCATTCACCTCTTTCTTCATGCGTGAGGATGCTGAGACGTTGCAGGCCATCTTGGTCCTGAAAATTAGACACAGCTCAGCCCTAAGGGCTCTACAGAGGGCCTGCGGTGTTAGACTCATTTTCTCCACTATGGTTGGTGTGGTTCTGTACTAGGAGTCCCTCTCCCGTGTGTGCTAGTGGCATGTGTGTATATTTCAAAGATGACTTTAACCACTACACACCTCATAGATATGTTTACACTGATTTTGCATAGTTGGTTATTTTTGTTTAGAGCCTAAAAAATTTTGGGTTAAGGCAAATAATGGGGGGAGGCAAGTCACTGAATGTCTGGAATGCTTTGAGAGCAAGAATCAGAGCATAACTTTAATAAAGCCAAAGCATCCTTGGGATCAAATCGGTGTTTTATGTTCTGCAGTGACCACAATGACATTTTACCGAGTGGGATCCTCACTGACTCTGGAGGAGAACATCTTCTTGTTGCGCTGTGATGAGCTTTTAGTTCCTGCAAGAGTAGAGAAGAAAGATGTCAGTAATGGGGAGTGGTCTTGGGTCATTCTCTGTCCACAGAGACACGACTCTTGGAAAAATCAAAGAACACACTAAGGGGAGTGGACATGGTATGGTGGGACAAGGCAGAACATGTGGGATCTGGTCACTCATGTAACACCAATTACCTGTGCGGCCCTAAAGAACTGACTTCATTACTTTGGGTCTGTTTCCCGAACTGTAAAATGGGGATGGGCATACCTTCCATTCATCCCTACACTTGACAATGTATAACGCCTACTCAATTTGCTCCTCAACACTATACTCTATTTTCTAAGCATCCATTTAATTATTGTTTAATGTTTCTCTTGAAATAGACTCAGGCATTTAAACTTAGTGAATGTATTTTTAAAGAAAATTATATATGACGATCACAAAGAGAAAAACCAGTGTTATTTGTAACAAATGTCTAACAGCTGAAAATAGAAAAAAATCATTTGTAATAAGTAGAAGGTAACTATAAATACATTCAATAAATTATATTAAAACAATTTTACTAAATTTTACTTAACTACCATGATTTGCTAAAAGCTCTAGTTTGAGGAAATTAATAAGTAACAGAGAAATGTTAGAGACATACTTACATTAAGTTGACACTTTGAGGGAATCAAGAGAATTGACGCCTTCTACTTAAGATGTATTTTCTAATCACAATAATAATGAACAAAATACTTTTTAAAACATAAAAATCTATCATACTGTACAAGAGCATGCTCATCTATGTGAGCTAGATATAAACAGAATGTGAAGTAAGAGTCATGGCCTTGGCTCCTGGATGCAGAAGCAGGTAAGAGGAGGTAGGAGTCATATCCGGTGGGTTACACAATCCCAAAACACACTATGATGTGCGGAACTAGGACCAGGCTCCAGGACTGAATCAAGCCTGAAAGGACTTTATCTGCACAGCCATGCAGGTAAAGCCTATGTATCCTCAATTAATATGGTGGCTAAGATGGCACAGGAAGGCTAATGACAGCTGGACCTAACCTTACATTGCCTCGGGGACCAGATCTAAGAGACCTCCAAATGTCACCTTAGAATGGAAGCTTAAGCATCAATGTAAGATCTGAGGGATAATATAAGGTACTAAGGGACACATGGAGGCATAAGGGAAAAAGCTATCTTAAGAAAAGCACATGAAAATAGTGCAAAGTGCATGGTTACATTTATATGAGAACAAGCAAAATGAATCAATGGTGACAGAAATCAGAAAGTGGTTACTCTGGGATGAGATATGTCAGACAAGGAAGAAAACTGATTAGAAAGGAACGTAAGAGAACTTTCTCTAGTGATAGAAATGCCTTATATCTCGTTTGTGTGGCAGCCAAATAGCATAAACAATTATCAAAACCCACTAGTTAAACATTTAGGAGTTTTGTATCTTGTGTGTGAATTATAATTCAATAAAAAATGGGTGTGTGCAGCAAGAAGGAAGAGAGAACCTTCAATATAGGCCTGTAAATCAAAATGTCAGCATACATGAGAAAAAATAATACCAGGAAAGATACCAGTGAACTCAATAATCTAGGGACAGATTCACAAAATGGAAATAATACAGCCATACTAATATTGCTCCAAAATTGATGTTTAAGATCCTCCAAATATAAATTTCCTCTAATGATTAATAAGCAGAAAGCAGCTCAAGTAAGGATTTGAATAACAGATATTTATTAGTTTCTTTTTTTCTCTTTTAGTACTAGGGATCAAAGTTGGGATCTTGTGCTCTCAAGGCAAGCAGAACCACTGAGCTAAATCCCCAGCCCATGTCAGTTTCTGTCTTGCTCTGTTCTAGAGACAGCATCTTAGCAGTTTATGTTCAAAGACTGGCTTGACTGAGAATTCTTGTGACAGTTAAATCTTGGAGGTTTTTTGTTTTGTTTTTTGTTTTGTACCAGGGTTTGAACTAGGTCTCTTGAACTTGCAAGGGAGGTGGCAGAACCACTGAGCCAAACTACAGGCCCAGATCTGGGAGGTTTTAACTCTAGTTATTTACAGATTATTAACAATTTTACTAATAGAAAATGGGAAAATATGATCTTTAAATCAATTACTCTGTGATAAAATTATTAAATGTTGACTTGTGTAGACTAAATGTTTATTCATCTATCTCTCAAATTCACATGTTGAAATTTAATCAGAAATGTAATGAATGACATTTACAGGTAGGGTCTTTGGAGGTTAGTGCCCTCTTAAAAAGATACCAGAGAAATCCCTCGATCTCTTCCAACATAGGGGAACCCAGCAAGAATATAGCTATTTGTGAATCAGGAAGAGGCCCTTACCAGGCACTGAATCTGTTAGTACCCTGATCTTAGACTTCTAACCTCCAGAAGAATAGTGAGAAATAAATTTTCACTGTTTATAAGCTACCCAGTCTATGGTACCTTGTTCTGGTGGCTCAAACAAGCTATGACAATGACCATGATATTAGAAATTAGAACATTAAATGTAAGTTTCTGGGTATAATGATATTAAATATTGGTGTATTTAATGTTTGCTGTGTATTCTTGTAGGAAAATGAAAAAAAAACCCAACATCCTAGAGATGTGCCTGTGCATTTAATAAACAAACAATACTGTTGAGAACTACTTGAAAAAAAAATCTTCCAAATGGTACAGAAAGGGCTATGACTATAGAACTAGAATAAGAAATTGGGAGAAATCTTAAGCAGAGCCTTTTAGAAAATCAACTAATGAAAAATCATCAAAATAGAAAACACTTATTAGACATAACTCAAGATTGAACAGAGTTGAAGAGATAATTAATGAATTGGAAGACGTAATTGAGAAATTCATTTAGACATAGCACAGAGATAAAAATGAAAAATATGAGTGAGCTTGACACAGAAAGCAGACTGAATAGCGCCAAAATACTTCTAACACAAATTACTGAAAAATACTCTTTAGTATCCTAAGCAGACATATGTGTACCTGGTAAGATGAAATAAATTAATACTCATAACACACTAAGATAAGCAGTTTTCAAGATGGCATCCAACAATCTTTACTTCCTGGCATCATGTCTTTGTGTAATCTTCTCCTGTTGAATATAGGCCAGACCTAGTGATTCATTTCTAACAAATATAATATGGTAAAGGTTTTGGAATGTAACTGTAGTTTTTGTCTTGCTGGCTCTCTCTGTTTTGCTGTCTTCCTCGCTCATTTCAACAGAAGCCAAAAGTGATGTCCTATGGAGACATATACCTGGTGAGGGACTAATGTCAAAGCCCAACAGCCTGCAAGGACTCAGCGATGTGAGTGAGCTTCAAAGAGGATCCTCCCCTAGTTGCTTTTTATGATGGTGGCTCTGGCTGACACTATGATTGCACCCTCTTGAGAGCCCCACAGCCAAAATAACTCATTTAAACCATGCCCAGATTCCTGACCTGCAGAAACCGTGAGAAAGTAAATAATGCTTGGTTTAAGCCACAATGTTTTGGGGATAATTTGTGATGCAGCAATCAATAATACAATTACATAGAATAGTACCTAGAATATGCAAAAGATCCATAAATGTTAGCCACTGCAATAATTTCTATTTCATAGATGAAGAGAATGAAGTTCTATAAAGTTATTCAAAATTAGCTGCACAAGAGGGAGAAGCAGTGCTAGAACCCAGGAGCAGAAGTTTCACTCCAAAGCCTCACTTTGCACAAAGCATGGCACACTGGCACCAGTACCTGATGGCATCCCCCGAGTGATCTTGTCCCTAGAGGTATTGATGGTGACTGGCTGGTAGATCTTTATCAGGTCTTTCAGCTTTAGATCTTGGGCCATCAGTGAGTAATTGTTGGCAATGGAATCACTGGGTCCTCGGTGGTGGTACTGCTCTTTGAAGGGCACAGACTGGGTCCATGATGTGCGTTGCATCAGTGGGGGATAAAAGCTGTGTGACATGACAGTCTACAAGGGAAGAAATGCAGCATGAGACACAGTAAGGGACCTCTCTGTGAGCCTGGGCTCTCCTTACACTGAGACTCACAGGGCTCATATACCTTATGCTATGTTTCCACTTTCTGTGAGCTCAGGGAAAATACTTTCTGAATAAACATCAATTGCACTTCTCTCAACAACAGAATCAGATGAGAACATCTCTTGTTTTAGCCCTTATGGACACGGATATAAGAAAGATAGAGTTACCCTCATTTTCCACTTGAGGATACAGAAGTTCAGAGTGTTTCAATAACATAATTCTTTCTCCCACACTGCTGCAGATTTATCCAGTGGCAAAAACAATCAAAGCCATTAATCTCACTTGTCAAGTCTGAATGTTTGTCCCCTACTAGTGCCTGCTGAATACACACAGGCGTTCTTGTCACCCTCAGTAGAAGAGCCTGCAGTCAGGGATGCATACCTGATAGAGTTCAGATGGTTCCTCATCGACAGACGCAGGCAGGGGAGGCAGCTCTGGCCGTGTCTGGGGGTGGCTCATGTGGTGTATCGAGTCACTTTTGTCGAGCTGTGGGAAATGGGAAGAGAGCCACTCTTCAGGTATGATACATTTCCAAGCCTCTGAAGATGGTAAGGACTAAAGAGTTCCCAAGAATGGTTTGTGGCACACAGTCCTACCCACAAAACAACCTTTCACTCCAGCTAGAAATTTGCTCAGACAGTCATACCGCATTTTATGTATGCTGAGCACACACCTAAGCAATTCTCTGGGCTTCCACCACAGAGCAGGTGTGTGTGAATCTACCATTCCATGAAGGAGTGCACTCTGGGGAGCAGCCTCAGATAATTGTGAACAAAACATGTGTTTCCCACAGTCACTCTCAATTCCTACGTGGCTCCCCAACTCTCCTGAATAGAGCTGAAAGGGACTGCAGTATTGAACAGTACTATATGTTTTTGTCCTAAGACCCAGCCACTATATACAAGACATTGATTTCATCTGGTGCTGTGACAGAGATACTGCAATGTGTTCTAACATTGGAGGAAAAATTGCTGGCCTGGACTTATGGAAAGGTGTTGTTATATAGCACTTTAAAGTTGGTTTGAAGGATTTTCAAGGGCCACTTTGGCTCTTTGGTTTTCACCTTAGGCAATGCCTTTGGACTTAAGTCTTATGTAAAATGAGACATTATTGTATGGATTTGTCTTATTTGGACCTGCAAATTATGTTATGCAAGATCATTGGTGAGGGGTCAGGTGGAAGAGGAAGATATGACTCAATATTAGTAGTGAGCGCCTCTCCCTTCTACCATGTCCCAACCAACCCCTTACTATTGATTCCCATTAATCTCCATTGTTTCTCCTGGAGCGCCTACTTCATTAAATAATAACAACAGCAATATCTTCCATTAAGCCAAATTATTAAGAACCAGGCTTTTTACAATCCTGGAGATTTTTTTTGTACCCACATTCTAGCTGATCAAACTAAGACTCAGGGATAATAGGCAATATATCCCAGCCACATAAGATGCAGATCTGTCTTCTAAGTTAATGGCTTTTAAATACACATCACTCTGAACCTCAATACATCGGAAATAGCAAGTATCACTTACATTGCAAATTACTTTAGGAAGGTTGAGGACCTTAAAATCAAATGAAAATATGCGAGCCCATGAACAGAGATGTATACTGAGATTGGGATCTTTAAAAACATGGAATGGGTTCATTGATCTCATAGTTAAATTGTTCTCAAAAAATTGAGACATATCAGATTCACCAGTGGAACTTTATTCAAAGTAGAATACTTCAGTCCTACCTGAAACATGAAGCATTTGAGAGCAACTGACTCCACTGTTTTCATCATACAGATCTACAGAACTTGTTGTGTTTATTTAAACTACCACCTCTGTCTCAGTTTGAGAGAATTCAACCAATCATCTCCAAGAGTTTCCTCTTCTACTAATGAAATTAATTCCAGATCTATACTGATACCGCAAACAAAATGGAAAAAAAAAATCCCACAATCAACTGGAAAAGAATCTGATTAACCAAAGTAGATACTATACCATCTAAGGAAGATGTTAGCAGCAATACTCCCAGAGATATGAAGTCATTTGTTACTTCTTTCAGGATCCCAGACGCAAGACATGTACGGCTTGATTAGGATAGGGCTGTCTGTATTGTGTTTTTGGAAGCAACGAGGTTTTGTGGTCTGTGGAAAATCTTCCCTTTGGCCTAGATTTTAAATCTATTCCAAAGAAAAATCTTCATTACAAGAACAACAAATGAACACCACAAAACTGGAACATCTTGATTAAGTAACAAACTTACAATGAGAGTGAGAATGTGTAATTAATACACACACACACATACACAAACTGCCCTTCTGCAATCAAGGAGAATATTAACATTATTCAAGAGTCATCTTGGAATTCATTTGTGTACTCAGGATGGGGAAGAACCTGACTTTATTCCTGACACCAGTTGAGATACTAGTAGTCTCACCAAAAGAAGTAGAGTGTATCCTTAGTGGATATAACTGGTTCTACTCCAGTTTCAGTCCATATTGTACAATGTGGCTGATCCCATCCCTTGGCTCCAGAACAAGACAGTCTGACCAATAGACTATTCCATCTTCCTAGACGCAGTGATTGGTTCAAGGATAAGCATATGATCCAAGCTGGGTTGACCAGGGTATATCCTGACACTTTTACTAGAGCTGTTGATAAAGAGCACTCTGTTTTCATTAGAGTCACCAACTATGAGGTTATTTATAGTAAAATAGATAATAGTTATCTTTGTGTCATGTGGGGGCAAGTCTGCCTTAGAATAAAGCCAACACAGAAGCAAGCAGAATCACCAGAAGGAGAAAGACAGAGTCTCAATGACATCATCTGGAACCCTGGATTTAACTTGGACATCTTGACTAGTTGATCTCATACACAGATTCATTTGAGTTTGAGGCAGTCTACATTATTTTTCTGTCCTTTCATACTAACAAATAAAATGGTCATCCAAGGTATGTACACAGAGACGGATGAATCGATCATAGAGTGCTCAAGAGAGAGAGCAAAGATACCACATCATGCAAACAGATAAGCTATTCTTGAGGTATTGAAAAAAGCGAACCACAAGTATTTCACTAAACACAATGGAGAGCAACAGAACCTCTGCAGAAACAAAGTATAAGCTAGTTTATAGGCAAAGAAAAAGTCATAAATACACAAAAAGTCATAAATACCCTGACACAGAAAACACCTCAGTCTGCACAATACACGGAGCACACAAAAAAGATCTGCAGATCTAAAATTCAATTCCAGAACAGACCCAAGAAAGTTTTCTTGACCAGACCTGGCTAAGAATGGTCTATATTACCTTCAAAGGAAAGGAAATGGAGCTTCTTGGAAGAAATATGTATCAATGCAAAATGGTTTGTTAAATTGCAGGAAGCCTTTATTTCAGAGCCTGGACTTGGATAGTAGTAACAAATCTAATTTGATAAAATTTGAGTTTTTAAATGCTTCTTGGGGCATTTCAAATGGCAACCTAGTGGATCTTAGCTTTTTTTTACAACTGAGATTCTGACACCTAGATTAGGCAGAACTGATACATTTGGACAGCTTATTTCTGATTACACAAGATATTTGCATGCCCTTCATGGAAGTAATTTCCAAATGCTGATCTGAGAATCTGCCACACCAAAAGTACTCAGATCTCACTGAAAAAAATATACATTTCAAAGTTCCAATCCAAATTTGCTCTTTTTTAATTAAGTTTATTTGTACATTTTAGGTATACAATAGTTACATTCATCATTAGGATCTTGTACCTTTACATGATGTATCTTAGTTCTTATTGTTTCCCCATTCCCCTGCCCTCCCTTCTCCAATCTAAATTTTCTACATCAGAATCTTTGGAGGTGGAGACCGAGACTCCACATTTTAAAGATGTGCCCAGAATACTCTGCTGTGCAGCCAGAAATAGGAACTGTTGGTTGGAATATATGGCCTAGTGATCTTAGAAGGGAAGGAAAAGGGACAATAGGTATTGACCTCTAAATTTTTCCTGTTAAACCTGTCAGCAAAAATAATATTTCAAAACATATACCAAAAGCATGTTTTTTTCCAGCTTTAACTGAGTTTATTGGTACATTTTAGGGATACAGTACAGTTACATTCGTTGCTGGGATCTTGTACCTCTACATAACAAGTCTTGGTTCTCATTTTTTCCCCTTACCCCTGCCCTCCCTTCACCCCCTCCTCCCCTCCCCATCTACAAACACTTTATTTTCATCTTTTCATTATCTCACATTTTTTCTTTTCCCTTTTTACCCTTCCCCTACCCGTCCCACCTTCCCTACACCTTTAGCCCCTTTCTTCCCATTTCTCAATGTTAGTAATCTTATTAGGATCTTCTGTATTATTGCAGATTATTCACACCAGGGAAACTATTCGGTATTTACACATGTGTGACTTATTTATTTCACTTAGGAGTATATCGCCAATATGTATCCATTTTCCTATGAATGAATCTATTTTTCTCATTCTTTATGGCTGAGTAGTATTCCATTTTATAGAAAAACCACATCTTCTTTATCCAGTTTCCAACGGATGGGCAAATGGGCTGTTTCCAAGTTGTAGCTATTACAAACTGTGCCGCTATAAACATGGGTGCGCATACTTCTCTGTGATATGATTATTTTAGTTCTTTTGGAAAGATACCCAGCAGAGGGATGGCTGGGTCAAATAGAACCTCCAGTCCAAGCTCTTTGAGGTAGCTCCATATTGATTTCCATAGCTGTTGCACCAGTCTGCACTCCCACCAACAATGGAGAAGGGTTCCTTTCTCCCCACAACCCCGCCAACATTTGTTATTGTGTGATTTCTTGATAGCAGCCATTCTTTGTGGGGTGAGGTGGAATCTCAGGGTTGTTTTCATCTGCATCTCTCGAATGACCAGTGATGTGGAACATTTTTTCATATATTTACTTGCTGCTTTTACTTCTTTGTCTGAGAAATGTCTGTTCATTTCAGATGCCCATTTTTGAATCGGGTCTTTAAATTTGGGGGCTGATTATTTTGAGTTCTTTATATATTCTAGATAATAGTCCTTTGTCTAAGGAGCAGCTGGTAAAAATTTTTTCCCACATTGTAGATTGTCTCTTAGTTCTGCTGATGGTTTCTTTTGAAGTACAGAAGCTCCAAAAGCATGTTTAACACACTTGCGAGGTCAAGAGAATCTAACATGAGAATTGGTGTATGACTAGAACATCCCCTTCCCATATACTCTTAAAATTCCCTACATTTTGAAAATACAGGAAAAGAAAGAAAGGTGCTTTAAAACTGACACTTACCTTTTGAGATGAGCAATCCATGTTGCTTAAAGTGTCAGCTCTAATTGAACCTATTAAAAATGAGTAAAGAGCTTCAGCAGGGCTGCTCCTCTCCTATCCAGTTGCTCTGCAATCCACAACTCCTTATACTACAATGAGGATGACACTGACAATGGAACTTTCCAGGTGTCTGAAAACTCCGTTCAGAAGGCTGCCTCTCTGAGGTCACAGACTTCAAGCCTCTGAGGAATTTCCTGGTAGAGGAGGAGAGAAAGCGAAGATAGAAAATGGGGTTCTTGTGGTTTTGTCTGTGCCCCATCTCCCTACTCCTTGCAAGAGTCACCCTTCCTTCCCTTTAAGCAGATCTCTTGGAACTTTTCCTGGAATACAGCAAGGTTCCCGAAGAGGGGAAAAAAATAAAAACTGAAAGAGACTTTCCCCCCAAATTTATGTAGAAATGCTCCCAACAACAAATTAAAAGAGAAAACAAGGAAGACTAAAATACCACCCACCCTGTACTCATCTCCCTTCTTCTTCCTGAGCAGTTTTTGCACTGAGGTACAGAAGATTACTGGCCTTGGGGCCAGTAACCAGGCATCAGCGTCTGTTGCTAAGGGAAGGAGGGGCTTCTGCTGTGTCTACATACAAGACTGGGCTTGACCTAGCTCTACCTCTGTTCTGTTGACTCTGTGTTGAAGATTCACCTGGGCAGCAGGAAGAACCGGCAACAGAAAGGAAGAAGGGAAGGCATTTAGCAATGACCCAGGAAGGCAGAGGTTACTGGCAATGAGAGACCATGTCTTTGGAATGGTCTCAAAGGACACAGCACGGTGGTTCAGCTCTTGCAATTAAGACCTGGAAACATCTGGCTCAGATTCTTCTCTTCCCCTTAATGAGCTGCATGGCTTGAGCAAATTGCTTCATCTCTTCAAGTGAACTTTTCATCTGTAACTGAGCAATAATGTGAGTACCTGCCTCACAGGTTGGTTTGAAGGTTTAATAAAATATCATGTATAGAACAATTTGCACATAGTAGAAGTTTGGCCAATTTGTCCAGTTTGCCTAGGACTTTTCCAGTTTTAACACTCTAAATCCTGTGTCCTGGGAACCTCTTTAGTCCTAGGCAAACTGCAACAGTGTGGTTAATCAGTGAAATGGGCCCTCTACAAATGTTGTAGCTAACATCAATATTATTATAAACACAAACACAAGCACACATACTCACTCACACAAGGACCAAAGTTAGCTGCTGACCAGATATTCACAGCACTTGTTACATAGTGCTATCTAAGTTCTCTGAAAGCCAGATTAGATTTACTGAGCTCTTTCTGGGTACCCTGTTTGCATATCTGCCTTTTTTCATTTAATTTTCCCCCCAAATTCCACAATGCTCTCTTATATAGATAAACTCAAACTGAGTGACGGCATAACCTTCCTAAGTTGGCATAACTCAGAAGCAGTGATGCTACAATCTGAACCGTCCCCATGACTCTGAATCCAGTGCTTTCCATGAAGCACCTATGCAGAACACAAAAGTTTCAGAGCTGCTTTGAAGAGCAATGCATAGCCCCAAGTATTTCCAGTTCTCCTTTTTTCACTCCATTGTCATAATTGGTCCCTCTACACTTTCTAAATAAATTCAGGTTTCTCATTTAATAGTGTTTACATTTTCTGCCATAAGGTGTATACAGTCCACCCCCCATATCTCTGAGTTCCACATTTGAGGATTCAACCACTCATTGATCAAAAACATTTGAGAAAAAATTATATCTGTACTAAACACAGACTTTTTTCAGTAGGAATATATTCCACTTAATATTTGGGGCATACTTATACAAAAAGTTTTTTGTTTTTACCTGAAATTGAAATTTAACTGGATGTCCTGTATTTTCATTTGCTAAATATGTTAACTTGGAGAAGAGACGCCAGGAAGGTACCAGGCTGTTTCTGTCTCTGTGGTATAAAATTTTAGGGTCTCAATTCCTTGCTGGGGAATTACATATTTCTTATTCAAGTGTCCCTGACAGATTTTTTTCTGATACCTGAATAACTGCAGTCTTGGTCCATCATGGCTGCTACAACAAAGAGCCATAGGCTGAAAACTTACTTCCCATGGGAAAGGTTGCATGTGGATTTATCAATCCACTGGATGCTCATTGAGAGCCAAGTCCTGATACTATGCAAAGATGTGGAGATATTAGATCCCCACCACGGGGGAATATATGATGTGCTAAAAGATGCAGTCAACACACAGAGAGAGGCAAAACCTGACTAGGTCGCCCTAACAAAATGCCAAAATGAGAGGAATTAAAAGATTCACAGATGTGCCCCTAGGTGGCACTCTTAAACAAAAATACCAATTGAAGGCTGGGGATCTCGTTCAGTGGTTCTGGCGCTTGCCGCTCAAAGACACAAAGACACACACACACACACACACACACACACACACACACACAACCAACTGAAGCCGGTTTAGCTTTCACGGCAACACTCTGGGAGTAACACAGCGCTTTAGTCTAAGGAAAACAAAACATTTCCCTAGGTGGGGAAATCATCATATTACAACTGAAAAGTGTAAAGTGCATGAAGGCAAGATTCCCTGAAATTTAAGAATTTAGACACAGATACTTATCTATCCATGTTGTCCCATCTCCTTCACTAGCTCGTTCTTTTTTTGCAAAGGAGAGGACTTAGAGTAGGGTTCATAATTATCGTCATTATCACCAAGCTTATTTCTGTATCCACCAACCTGATTATTTCTAGAAATATAAGGTGGCAGAAGCAATAACATCGAACATTTCTGAGCCTCTACCGTGCTCAAATACAGTGGGTGCTATATGTTCTTTACAGCCATTGTCCCAGCCTTCACTATAACCCTGTGACTTCTCTCTTTGCCTATGGACTTACTGTCTAGGTCGCTATGGACACAGGCTTCAGAAGAGAAGTAAATCAACACAGGTCCCTCACGCAAAGAGCCTGAGAACTGTTTAGGAGCACACCAGTGCCTGGGCATTATAACCATGCTCGGCGAGGTATCTCTGCCAAGGCCATAGAGCAGGGACCAGAGCCTGGGACTGAATGCTGGGCCGCAGCTCATTGTCTTTACCTGTTTGCCGGATGGCAGTGGTTTTCGACCCAGAAGAACACTTCCCCAGGGAACACTTGGCATTGTTTAGGCGACATTTTCGTTGTCACAACTGAGGAGGGGTCCACTGGTAGAGGCCACATATCCTGATAAACATTCCACAGTCACAGAAGCCCCGAAACAGAATTCTCCTACCCAAAGTGCCAACTGCGCTGCTGTTGAGAAATCCTGCTCCTCTGACTTGGATTTGAGGCTTGGAAAGCGCTCCCACTCTGACTGGATCCTTGTGAACTGACGGACTTGCATTGTTCCTCAATTTTTTCATCTGCATAACGGAAATAATCTAATTCTTCTCTCATAGCTGCTGACATTTGCACTTGAGGAGTTACGGTTAAAGCATCCCTGTCAAGGTGGTAGCATATCACTTGTGCTTCTTGGGCTCCAGAGAAGCTTCCAGAAGGGTTGAGTCTGGGTGCTTAGGAGGGAAAACCCTAAGTTCTTTCACAAGCTCAGGTGGCCGAGAACTTTCACTCCAAGACATGGGT